GCTGGTTATTGTCCAAGGCTGCCCTCAGTTCCTTGTCTCCAAGGCCTCTCAGTAGTGCCACTTACAAAAAGCAGTTTGTTTCATCAAAGAGCACACACCAGGAAGGAGTGAATTAGAAATGAAAGCAAAAAGGAACTCAGTCTTTTGTAGGCTAATTTTATGATTAGAAGCAATTAACTAGGTCTAGCCCTCATACACACATGGAGAGGGGATTACTCAAAGGCACGAAGACCAGGAGGCAGGGAGCCTTTGGGAACCATTGAAGAAGCTGCCTACCACATGGATATATACTATTTTATTTCTCAGCAATTACAAGTGCTACAACATCTCCTTGATGACTTCAACAGAATCCTAACTGGTTTGTGCGTTTAGTCTTGTTTCCTTGTGATCAGTTTTCTACAGCCTAATCAGAATTGTCTTTCTTAAAGTGTAAATTAATATAGCACTCCCATGCTTGGAATATTTCACTACTTATTATCTTTATGGGGACATCTAAATTCTTCCTCCTGTGTTTCAAGGTCATTTGCCTCTTCACTCCCCCTAAATTGTCTTTAGATTGAACGCTTTTGTTGCTGGAACCAGAGACACTTAGAAGACTTTGCAACTTCTTTCTGAACACACCTTCATCAGTTCTTCATTTGGCCTCTATTTAGATTACATTTCCATCAGAATGTAGTCTTCACAGTATATTATAATTGTCTTTACTCATTTGTGTCCCCCATCAGATACTGACATTCTTGCAGGTAGGCAGGAAGTATTTCCATTTTGTTTACTATTATTTCCCAGCATGTACCACAGCTTCTGGCAAGTATAAGTGTGTTCAGTGAGCACACAAATGAATTACAGTTAAGTGTACTTAGTTTCATAGTACCGAGGCAAATAAAGTATGGGTGCTAAATCAGAATGTAGGCATGTAGTAGGAAATGTGTATATATTTTTTTAAAGATTCATTTATATATTTTAGAGAGAGAGAGCACAAGTGGGAGGGGCAGAGGGGGAGGGAGAGAGAGTCTCAAACAGACTCCATGCTGAGTGTGGAGCCCTATGCAGGGCTTGATATCATGACCTCAAATTCAGGACCTGATAACGAAACCAAGAGTCGGATGCTCCACCGACTGCATCACCCAGGAGCCCCAGAAATAAGTATATTTAATAATTCATTTGGTGATATATATATATATATGTATAAGAGAATCTGTCTTTTGAACATCTTATGACTGATTATATACCAGCAATCTACATAATTCAGTCTGGCTGTGGTAGTTTGTTAATTTGCCCATTTAAGTTTTGATGATTTAGTAATTCACTTTAGGTATTTATATTTATATATTTATAGTTATATATAGTTATATGTATAAATTCTACTTTATATATTCACTTTATTTGGATGTTTATATATGTAAATTCTACCTTTTATATTAATATATAAAGCTATAAATATATACTTACATATATAAATTCTACAGATTTTTAATATTTTCAAATGTGAAAGATACGTGTTTTTTTTTTTTTTTCAGTAGTGGCCTATTGTTAATTTAAGCTACTTTAAAATAGGATAATTATCAGTAAATAGAAGGACCATCGATAGGAATTCTGTGAGACTGAAGATAAATACACATAAGAGATTCATAGCAAAACTAACAATTTTAACAATTACAAGTGTTAATGTTTGTTGTATGCTTACTATATGCCAGGTATTTTGTTAAATGTTTTACATGGGTTATTTAATTTTTTTATCCTATGATGTAGATACCTTTTTTGTTGCCATTTTGCAGATGAGCAAAGTAGAGCTGGAAACCAAGCTTAAGCAGGATGATTCCACAGCCCACATGCTTCACAACTTTGCTATACTTGTTGTATGAGCAAAGACATGAAGATATGGTCCATTAGAACAAGACTGAATCCACAGCCCAGGCTTTATTTTTCCTCTGTAGTGTGACTGTGCCTATTAAAGCTCTATGATAAAAAAATCTCCATTCAAGATCCAGTTGTCTGTCCCATAGGATAATGATAGGCTATATATCATCATGCCTTTTGAAGTACCTTATTCTTGCCTACCCAATCCTACCTAGCTTAATGTAGAGTGTTAATGTATTTCTATTAATTGGGCCCAGTAAAAATATATTCCTAAAGTGACAGAACTAAATGAATCAATTTGCCCAATAAAAAAGTTATTTATAGTATATCGCAAAGCATATCTCCCAATATAAAGCCAGTCTAGAAAAAGTGAAACTATATTGAAGTTGGCTAAGTTCTTCACATTATGTGGTCTGCCTTTGGTTTATCTGTGGACAAATATTAATAGTAGTCTGATTTTTCCCCACCTCCAACACCATTTCTTCATGCTCTTTGTCATCTCTTAATGCTGGCTTCAGGATAATATTTTTAATTTAAATTAATTTTATAGGAGCCTAAACAAAGTATGTGATGCATTCAAATGGCAAGTATAACGATTGTGATTTATCTATATTCTTTCCATTTGAATGGTTTACTGAGATTTGACTGTGTCTGGCTTCATGTGATAAGAATAGACTGATAACGTGCTCCTGGCAATATGTGAGAATGTATTGTTTTCTAGCATGTAATTGCTTTTAATAGAAGGCAATAAAAGTACTACTCTGTGACACATGGTGCTATTAGGATATTTGTAGTTTTTTTTGAAAGGAGAAGCTGGTATGATTTAGGTGCCTTTTGTTCCAATAATAGTAATAATAAAGATGCTATCACTTCCCTCCTAGGTTTTACTTACCGTTTGTTCTTGTAGTGTCAATCAAATCACATTCTTTTGATTATTGGCATTTTTATTCTATTTCACACGCTTTTATTTTTTCAGTGATGACAAGTATTTTAATAATTTATTATATTATCAAATGTTAAGTGTATTTGCAAGATGGATCAGACTATGGTTCTACAATTCTCATAGTTCATAGACATTCAGTTTATTAATTTTATTACTTGGCATTGAACACATTTGGTACAGAAGAACCAAGGTAACTGACACAGTAAGCACTGGATGTATTATTTGGTGTAGTGTTCTAACCAATTTAAACAGTTGGCCATAGGCAGATCTATATGATGACAAAGGTAACTCTCAGCTATTTTATTTTTTATTTTTTTAAAGATTTATTTATTTATTAGAGAGAGAGAGTGCAGGGGATAGGGGCAGTGAGTCTTAAGCAGACTCTGTGCTGAGTTTCGAGCCCCACGCAGGGCTGATCCCAGGACCCTGAGATCACAACCTGAGCCGAGAACAACAGTTAATCTGCCTCAGAACATCTCCATACTATAGGGCTCTTAAATTGTTTAATATTGAAGACTTTTGAAAGTGCTTTTAAAATATAGTACCTTACCAGATTAGGATGTAACAATATATCTTTAATATTAAGGTACTTAATAAAAGTAAGTCAACAAATTCTTTTTTTTAAATTTTTTAAAATTTTTTTAAAGATTTTATTTATTTATTTGACAGAGAGAGACAGAGCGAGAACAGGAACACAAGCAGGGGGAGTGGGAGAGGGAGAAGCAGGCTTCCTGCGGAGCAGGGAGCCCGATGCGGGACTCCATCCCAGGACCCTGTGATTATGACCTGAGCTGAAGGCAGACACTTAACTACTGAGCCACCCGGGCGCCCCAACAAATTCTTAGTTTTGCTATTTTTCAGGAACATGACTGAATATATTTTAAGTAAGCTTTATTGAGAGAGATAGTCATTTGTACAAAGCCTTTCCCTCATTATCCTAATATTACAGTATTTTTTTCACTTTGTTACCGTGCTAAGTCTATATTTCTTCATACCTTCAGAGACACCGAGGCAATTACCTTACTATTATCAACTCTCTTAGATTTAATAGTGTTTTCTTAAATACCGTTATCAGTTTCCTTGCTGGGCAGATTATATTTGTGCCTCAACATATATATATATTGCATAATATTTGCTTGGGAGTTATTGCCAATAAATAAATTTACTTAGACTCTAGTTAGGACCTAATAAATTAGTAGTCTTAAGAGTTTGTTCTGATTTTTATGTATAAATGGGTAATCTTTTTAAAATAATTTAGTATTATGTGATATATGTAGCAGCTCTCAGTTATCTGCTTTAATAGATTGGAACGAAAGTATAAAACTTCTGGGGGTATAGGCAATTAAACGTTTTTATAATGGTCTTTTTCTTATATGTCAGTAACTTTAGCTCAGGCTTATTTGTATCCTCTTGGACTAGGAATAAGAAATAAAAGAAGCAGTGAGAACAACTTTCATATGGCCAGATCTAGGGCTTATTGAAGATTTTTCAAAGATAATCTTAAACTTTTGTTGGCAGAGAGAAAACGGGTTCTCGGCCTTTGGGAAACATTCTATATAAGTTCTTTCTCATGCCTTAAGTTTCTCCTGGGCTATACATTGCAGAAATCCTGTATCTGCTATTGAATTCCTTCATGGTCGTAAGAAATACAGTGGATTTACACTGTTTGGGGTGTTATTTTAAGTTGTAAGATTCTCTTTTTGTAGATTATTTTAATTCTCTCGTCTCTGTTTTTTGTCTCTTGCAGCAACCAGCAGTATTGTTGGTAAGAATCCAATAAAGAGCTCAGGATTCATGTGGTTAGAGCTGCAATATATGGAGTTACATATACCTATGTATAAAATTAACTCATTCATGAACTGTTGCTAGATTCAATTTGGGCTGTGAGCATTCTGTTCACTGGTTACTGAGAGTAGTCTGCATTTTCACCACTAAGCAGTTGACAACCAAGAATATACATATATGACCTGGACATTCAGCATGTATCTAATAGAAGAGATATAGAACCAGAAAATAGTTGACTCATAAAGCATTTGTTATATACTACAATTTTTTTTGAACTTTTTTTTACGTATATTAAATCATTTAATCCTCATGAAAGAAAACCTATGAGATAATTTTACTATCTCCAGTTCTGTAGATGAGACAGTTGGGCCATGGAAAGATTAAGAGATTTGCCCAAAGGTCACCAGGACAGTAGATAGCAAAGGTGAGTTTGAACCCAGTGTTCTTAATTATTATGCAAACTACCAGGTTTTAGGTCATTTACATGCTCTCAGTTATATAGCTGGTAATTTAGATTCCTTTTATATATTTATGAAGTATATGTCATAGAAACTGCAGTCCCATTCTATCGGCCTGATACATGCCCAAGCAGGTCTGGAGTTTATTCTGGAAGCCAGAATGGATGCGATAAGCAGGGAAGAGAGTTAGTCTGTTCAGTGATATATGCTGGTTATGGGAGAACTTCCATACTATCTAGGTTTCTGTCTGAGTTGCTTCTGAATCTGAACAATATTATTCATTGGTCATCTAAATATACTTATTTTAGAATCAAATTTTGAAGATGACATTTGCAATTTGGGTTTCCAAGGTCATTTCCAGACATCTTCTAGGAAGTGACTGTGTGTAGCAGTTGTAGTCATGAAAGCATGCTTCTCTGAATGGAATCAATATGTCAACTTACCAATATACATTTTTTATACCATTTCAAATAGATTGATTTAAAAAAGTCATTGAGAGCATATAAACCACTTAAAAGGTTGTAGAAAACTTAATTTTATAACAATTTTAGTCAAGTTGAAATCATGGTATGTCGTTTTTAATTTTTTTTTAAGATTTTATTTATTTGTTTATCTGAGAGAGAACGAGAGTGAGAGAACACAAGCATGGGGAGCAGCAGAGGGAGAGGGAGAAGCAGACTTCCCGCTGAGCAGGGAGCCAGATGCGGGGTTCCATCCCAGGACCCTGGAATCATGACCTGATCTGAAGACAGACACTTAACAGACTGAGCCACCCAGGCGCCCCATTTTTAGTTTTTATATAAAAGGTGCTTGGTCATTTTTAAGAATCATTCTATTTAATGCCCATCAATACTGGCTCACTAGAGTGTTCAGTGTTCATAGGCATTCCCTTCAAATTTTCTGCACTTTCCAATTTTGAATTAAGGTCAGATTAGAGGGCTCACATAAAATAATTTAAATTTGAATCATCAAAAGAGGTTATATAAACGGGCTTTGATACATGGTGATATTAGTAATATGTGCATTTTCAACATATAAATAGTTGCACGTTATGAATAATTAAGCCTATCAGTACTTACCTAGAGTCAGGCTGCTTTGAGTATTTTTGAACAAATTTTAGGCTGAAGATTGCCATTAAAGAAATTCACCTTGGAAGTAAGCAACTTTCCATATAGAAAGTAAGAATTGCTAGGACATTGGAATTCATAGAATGGCTGCTTAGAGAACATCAGTATTTTACTTGTCATATTAAAATTCATCATTGTGATCTTTGGATTAGAAATGAAATATGCCCAGCTTTATTATTTATATTCTGTATATCTGTATAATAGAAATGCAAAACTTAATGAGTATATGTATTAATAATGCCTTAGCTCTTAAGGGTGCCTACCATGAAATTTATAGAATTATAGCAACCTTATTCTGTTACCATATGGAGATGGGCAACTGGGGCACGTGTAAAATTAGACAGCTCTTTCCAGTCAAATAGACAATATATTGAAGGTGCCAGCTATGAGTTAAATGAACCATCTAATAGGCTAACTGCTGTACAGAGTTTGCTGGTTGCAGACTATTTCCCAAGAAATAGTCAATGCTAATCTCTATTACTAAGCAATGACTGAAGAATCTTTTTGAGACTAAATTTTAATGAAAGGTGAAATAATTTTTTATAAATCTTATAGATAAGTCTAAATTCAGTGTAAGTAAACTTTATAAAATAGTCCTCCTTTGCCTATTTCTCTCAGACATGCACCTCTCCCTTCTCTCAGTGGACCCAGATACCTGCATAATCAACATAGTGACAAATTTACATTTCACAAATCTTGTATCAACTGATGCTTGGGTATTGGGAGCTGCATTTCCATGTATATGTATTAATAAGTAGTGACGGCCTACATAGAGACTAGTATAGTGTAGAAATGAGATAACAGCATTATTCTAGCAATTCTTCCAAGCTGCCATTGAAGCTTCTTCTTGTCTTATTTGGCCATTCAGCAAATATGTATTGAATTTCTATCATATGCTATACACTACTAGTTTTCACGGAATGCTTATTGCTCCATTCGGCCTGTGACCCACAGAATGAGTTAGCTGAATTCTCTGTGGTGGAAAGGGATTTTGTTTAGCCTGTTTTGCCATGGCAACATCCCTGTATTTCTGCACTTTCAGGCCTGCTTGCTTACTTAGAATCAAGTTAACTATTTCCTGTACTACCTTAAGGAATTTCCTAGGATCCAAATTATTTTTTATTGTTATTTAGGTATGCATAAACTGTTATATGATAAGTGAACCACTATTTGCAATGACAGGGACAGCATTTTCCAGAGACCTTCTACTTAGTTATTCTCTTATTTGGTTATTCTCTTATTTTTGCCCTATTTGTATCTAAGTCTTCTCATTGCTTCCTTAAACTCAATATAATCAGAAAGTTCCAGTGAACCTTAGGATTGACCTGTATTTTGAAGTTTATAAGTGGGAGTGGAGAAGACAGCAATTAGAGTATCCAATCAAAGGAAAATTAAGTTTGTGATAAAGATTTTTAGGGGCGGTCCAAAACTGCTAGAACTCATAGAAGAATTCAGTAAAGTGGCAGGATATAAAATCAATGCACAGAAATCAGTTGCATTTCTATACACCAACAACAAGGCAGAAGAAAGAGAAATTAAGGAGTCGATCCCATTTACAATTGCACCCAAAACCATAAGATACCTAGGAAGAAATCTAACCAAAGAGGCAAAGA